AATAGCTGGAATAAAAAAGCAAGCGACCGAAATTGAACGATTCAAATAATTCACAAATCGAAATATTGAAAAACAAAACAAACAAAAATAAAAAAATATGTGTATGGAAAAGAGTTACTTTTTACATGTAACTATCCAATTTTCCGAATTTTCTTCATGAAAAGTATAAGGTACTTTTATTTTTAAACCCCCGATCCACAACGAATAACCTCTGAAAATTTCATCAAGATTGGTGTAGCCGTTCTCTTAGCGTTACTAACAAACAAACATTCGTTCGTTTGTATGGGAAAAAGAGAGGGCCGTTTTTAGGGGTTTCCCGGAAATTATTCGAAATTTTCTTGCCGTAWAAACCATCCTTGAACCTCTACGGCCACATTAAAAAAAGAATTATCAAATTTGGTTCAGTCGTATGAAAGTTATGAGCGTATGTACATATGTAGATACATTTTGGCGATTCATTTTTATTTATATATGTAYRTACATATGTATGTAGATGTATAAAATTTGGATCGGCTATCGGCAGGAGTGCTAAAGGGATTTATCCTGAGTGAATTTGTCTCTTGTAAAAATGGTTGAAATTAGAAAGCAWCCCCGCCCACACTAACGGCTTTGTTAAAAACTAAAAAAAAGGGCCGCCTGCGTTGATATGAGAATTCTTTATAGGAGCCGGGGTAAATATCTGACGATGGACTTGGTAAAATCACATATCTCCTGCACCAAATCTTGGAAAAGACAAGTGAAAATAAGATTGACGCACACCACCTGTTTGTCGATTTCAAAGCTGCTTTTGACAAGGAGGAGCTGCTTTTATGCCGCTATGAATTTAGTATCCTYACAAAACTGATACAGCTGTGTAAATTGACGTTGAACTAAAAGTTCCGTCAAGATTGGAAAGAAACTCTCGGAGCCGTTCGATACTAAATGAGGTTTCAAACAAGGCGACCCCCTATCGTGTGATTTCTGCAATCTGCTGCTGCAATATTCTATACGAGTATACAACTTCTGGCGTACAAATTTATATCATCGGCCTCAACATCCTCAATATTTGTTCTGATTTCTCCAGATTGGATAAGGAGGTGGAGTAAATGGGTCTGCTAGTGAAAGTAAAAGAARTATCTCCTGTCATCATACAAACRGTCGTCGCACTCGCGACTTGACTYCGGCGTTACTGTTGACAGTCATAGCTTTGAAGTCGTAGATAATTTCGTCTACTTTGGAACCAGTATCAACATCAAAACAATGSCAGCCTCGATATTCAAGGCAGAATAACTCTCGCCAACAGGTGCTACTTTGGACCGAGAAGGCAATTGAGAAGTTCAGTCCTCTCTTGACGAACAAAGRCCAAACTCTACAAGTCAATCCCTGCGCTGCTATATGGCGCAGAGGTACGACCGATCACAACATGTGATGGGTCGACGTTACGAGTTTTCGAGAGAAAGGCTCTGCGGAAGATTTATGTTCTTTTCCGCATTGGCAACGGCGAATATCGAACATGAGCTGTATAAGTTATACGACGACATTGMCGTAGTTCAGCGAACTAAAGGACAGCGGCTACGCTGGTTGGGTCTTGTCGTCCAAATGGACGAAAAAGTTTCAGCTCTGAAAGTATTCCACGCAGTAACCGCCGGGGGAAGCAGAGGAAAAGGATGACCTCTACTCCGTTGGAGAGATCAGGTGGAGAAGGGTCTGGCTGCACTTGGTGTCTGCGTCAATAAAGAAGGAGAATAGAGCAGATATCTAAAATTCCGAAACACTTAACTTTGTATTGGATGTTTAGTCTCGCCTCTATGCAGACAAAAATGCCAATATAATCTGCTTTGATTTTGAACCGGTCTACAACAAATCTAATATAACCTACTAAATGGACCTAACGATTGGCGGGCACCGCTAGAATTACATCACTCGTATCCCTAAAATATTGTCGTCCTTGATCGCTAGGACTTAGTGAATCCGTGAAAATTCTACGAACATCACTCTAAAACATTACTGGTAATTCTTCACCGGTACTGTGCTGTACCCAAAAATTAAAATAGATTATGTAATTATTGAGCAACAAACATTTTGGAATATAATTGTATGTTACGTACCAAGGGGCAATATATGTTCAAGTACAGGCAATCCTCTGTACCGCTAATATAATGCTGATATAATCACGTGGTACACTAACAGACGTACAATTTATTGCTGACGTACCATTCTATAGTTCAGTTTCTTCAGGATTCTTTAAATAGATTGCAAATAGAGAGTACGTCGAGACATACGGTTTTTACTTACAAAGGAAGCTTCAAATGAAAAGCTCTCATAGCCGCTCATAAATCTGCCGAGCACACAAGATAAACCCGCAAAGCATACTTTCGGCGAATTAGCGCGTATCRGAGCGATGTTCGAGCAATACTCCAAAAACATTAATAAGTTTCTTATCGAAATTATTTTGAAAAATATGCTAACAACGCAAATAGTGCTCAAGTCGTTTGCTGTGGCTCAACTTGTCTACTTTTTGCTTCTGTTACTGTAGAAAATTTCAAACTAAAACAAAATGTATTAATTTTTCTAAAAAAAAAAAAAAAAAATTTGTTGGACCAAAAATTACTCGTTTTCAAAGAGCATATTTTGCCGCTTCAGCTTAATAAAAGTATTTTGTATGGAATTGATATATTGCATAAAAAGGCCTGCAGATAATTTATTAGTGAACAAAATACCAAGAATATAGGTACAATAGTACCTATTCATAGTAGAAGAAGGTAAATACTTACTGCTATTAAGATTTGCCAGCAGCTCATTAGGGTGACTAACCTTTAAAGAAAGCTAATTAATGCAAATTTCTAACAACTTTTCTGGATATATACTTAGTATTTTTGACCAAATTATACTATCTAACAGTTAATAAACAATCATATAAAAATATTACCATGGTTTATGATTTTTTGGAAGTAAAACCTCATATAATGACCAACAGACGCACCCAATGGGCCCTAGAAATCATAATTTTTACATATTTCCTCGAATAATTCATCAAATTGCCATATAGAAATCTATCTCTTGCTAATCACTGATTACTAGCTAAGTTATACGACGACATTGACATATTGTACTTCAGTGAATTAAGAGACAGGGTTACTCTAGCTATGCCATGTCGTCTAAATGGAGRATAACAATCCAGCTCTGAAAGAATTCGACGCTGTACACGCCGGGGGTAGCTGAGGAAGACCTCCATTCCGTTAGGAAGACCGGAAATACACTTGGAATTTCTTATTGCAGCCAAACAGCTAAACGGAATAAAGACTGATTTCAAACGGGGTATCAACTCAGCTTGTCATCCTAGTCATTTCTATATACATACAAGGGGATCCGGCCACGCGTTGCTGTGGTATACATTTTATACTATTATTCATATAATAAACTATTCAACACAGTGAAAGTTTAATTTAAGAATAAAGGCGAAAAYGTTTTTGGCGGTAGAAGGATTCAAGGGATTGTTCTTGAGGATTAATTTTGAATATGTTTACATAAATTTGATCGCAGACAAACAACGTGATACGTACTTTTTATATATAAAGATACATATAATCCTATATCTAGCTCGCTTAGTTATAAGTTATACACACAATTGGTACAATTTTCATAATATTTAAACAATTGCAGAAAATACTTTTCAGGGCGTGCACAAAATACAACTTATTAATTTGAAATCGTGCCGAAAAGATCATAAAAATACTACGACATTTTTCGAAGAGGCACGTGTTTAGTAAAGTTCACGCTTAAATTTATGGCTRAATTACTTATGGTTTAGTATAAAAGTTTTGCGTAAAGCCCGATTCTCAACCAGTTGCTAGAGTMTATCGAATTTTCGCAGTAATGAAAGGAATTACTTTGTTATTAACGTGTTTGGTATGTTACTCGAACATCGGTCCGATATGCGGCAATTCGCCGAGGGTATGCATTTCGGGTTCATCTTGTGTCCTCGGCAGATATATTAGTGGCAATGAGAGCGATTCATTTGAAGCCTTCTTGGGCATACCATACGCTAAACCGCCCATCGGTGATTTGAGATTAAGCGTAAGTAAGAAACTTATACCTCGAACAAGCAATATTATACATTTATAAAGCTGAAGGCCCTGGCAGCCAGTGCTTTATGTCTATAAGTGGAACGATTATTTATAATTATTTCTCTTTTAAATAAATAAATAAAYTATACATTTATAATTCAATTAAAGAATCCTGAAGAAGCTGAACTATGGAATGGCACGTTATCAGCAATAAATACTACACCTGATTGTATACAACGTGATTATATCAATGTTACAAAACGTATCGGCGGATCAGAGGATTGTCTGTACTTGAATATATATCGCCCTTTGGTACTTAATATTATATATAATTACAAAAATGTTCCACAATGGTAACAAAATACAAAATTTTTATTTTTGCTGCAGCACGGTGCCGGTGGAGACTTGCCAGTAATGTTCTTCATTCACGGTGGTGGATTTTTCGCCGGCTCACCAAATCCTAGCAAGGAAGGACCGCAATATTTTATGGATACGAGTGATGTAATTCTAGTAGTGGCCGCCTATCGTTTGGGTCCATTTGGTAAGTGATACAATTTTTTTGAAAACCGGTTTAAAAATAATGTATGTATATTATATTTCAGTATAATATTATACGTATAACACAGAAATTATAAACCTGCCGTTGTGMAACTTTTATCTTAATAGAAAGACCCTTTTTAAAATATTAGTAATAAAAAACATCTATATAAAGTGAAGTGCTTCGAAATTTTGGAAATCTGCTCAGTTCTAAAATGTTACACATTTTCGTGTTCGACTGGAATWTKTTTTAAGCCAWTATRTCAAGATATTTCGACATATYCAAAAGAATCTTATTATTAATGCCAATATTATTTGCATTATGGTGTTATTTTCTACAGGTTTCATATCTACTAACGATGAACAGATGACGGGAAATTATGGACTTAAAGATCAGAAATTAGCACTACAATGGGTT